ACATTAACACAGGCTCTAATTTGGGACCAGAGAAAATCTCTCTTATATCCGGGTTTCTCTTATATCTGGGTTACACTGTACATGAAAAGAGAAGATGGGAGAGAGGAAAAAAAGGCCCAAGGAAAAAGAAAAAAGGCCAAACTAAAACAGAGCCTTTATAAGAGAAATGATGTGTAATCAAGAACAATTTGAAAAAAAAGCATGCAATATATATATATATATATATATATATATATATATATAAAACTAAAATCCCAAGTATTGGCAACCTACACACATATAAAAAAACTAGCAGTATGAATTCTTGTGTTCTAAACTATGATAGCTAATGCCCTGGAAGATATAAAATAGCTGTAATTAAAAAACTTTCTAAATAAAGTATACCTAAATTATTCTTCCTAGAGAATATTTCTGAGTGAACTCAAACACATAAAGCAAACATTAGTTAACAATAATTTTCCCAGCTGCATCATCAATAAATAAAATTATTCTTACAAAAAAATTCATAACACTGTTACTAAAAATACAATAAATACAACAAAAGATTAAAATATTTTACTGTAACCAGATGCCATTAAGAACAATTACAAGCAAGATGGGTTCGTCATGCAACAAATAATTGGAAGTATATTTCAGCTCTAAATCCTGGCAAACATATAAAATTTATAATATATTACAGAAAATAAAAAAAACGGCAACCTCGTCATCACTAATCAAAATAACCCTACTAAATCTTAACTAGTGATGACCAATGTAGTGTATCAGTTTAACTGCCCATTACAAGACTGTTTCTTGTCATAAATCAATTAGTTATATCGGTCATGTCACTAACTCCTTGAGAAGATACCTTATTTGTCATTTATCTGACCGGTGCTATAAAAAGGCATTTAGCCACTCACAAGGTACAAAAACCCATAAGGAAAATTCTGGTTGATAACACAATCATCCTTCATAAGTCAAAAAAAACCAAAAATATCTTGCTGTCAGAGAAGCCCTCAACATAAAACATCTGACACCCAGTATTAATCTCACCTTATGTAACAATGGAATAAATGTGCTAAAAGTTTTTTTGAAATGACTCAGAATAAATGCTACTACTATATGGGAATCATGCAACTACATTTTAAACAGGAAACCATGAAAAGAAATTAACAACAGTCAACAACAAACCACTTGAAAATGGCTGAGGAAGTGGATGAAATTGCTTCAGGCAATAGACACTATTGACAATATTTACACTTTCTTATCCCCAACAAACAGAAAAATGTAAAAATATTAGAAAAACTAAATAAAAAATTTATCAAATTTTCCTTGTCTGTCATATTCAATGTCATATATTTGAAAGAAAGGTTGCTGCCAAAATATATATTTATATATATATATATATATATATATATATATATATATATATATATATATATATATATATATATATATTCTTAAACTGTATGTATATTATGTTTCCTGGCCTGTGTATTCAAAAAATCTTAATAAAGAAAATGTGCTTTCTGGCAGGAATTGAACCTGCATCCCTCTTTGTAGGAGAAATCAACATCTCATCTGGTATATTTTACTTCTTGGCTATAGAGAGTGTTACAGTACAGCAAGGCTTTATTTTTCATTTTAAGGACAGCACACTTCCTCACTATATACACAGACACACAGAATTATGGAACAATAAATTAGGAGTTGTGATAAAAAACAACTGAAATTAAGATGGAAAAAAATCTAGCTAGAAATTAAAAATAATCTGAAAAGCATATTTCTAGGCAATCAATATTTGAGTGACAATAAGAATTGTGATTGAATTTATTAATATTTTAATGCTTAGTTCCATAATTCCTAGAGCATTATCAACATCAATTCTTGTCTGTTAATATTGATTACCTACAAGCATGTTTCTTCAATGTTAGCATTGAAGTCATCAAATTCTTATCAGGGACCATTTTAGTGCAGACTTCTAACTCAATTAGGTTAGTATAAGGTTTCCATTTAATTAGATCAAGAGATCTGGAATAAAAAAAAACAAAACAACAGAGTTAAGATAAAAGAAATACTAGTCAAAAATGAATAATTCACAATGCTTTATCTCAAAAATTCAAATGCTTATGGTTATATCACATTGAAACACCTGTTCCCACAAAATCACCGAAGTTAGGTTTTGTGATGTCAACGAACGCTTATTGCCAACTTTTTTGATGCCAACGAATACTTGTTTTCACTTTCGTAAACCTCATTGTAGTAGAGACTTTGTAATCGCAGATACAACTATAGTATGCTGTTGAACAATGCTAGTGTCAGACGCTTTCAAATATCATTCACACTAATAGTACTTGCTCAATAATACTTGCTTGAATAGTAATCCATATAGTGAAATAGTATAGAGAATAGCAGTTCATATAGTAATAGAGTATACAGTATAAATAGTGATCCAAATACTAATAAAGGATAGAATAGAATGCAACCCGTATAGTGTAGAGGATAGACTAGAAATAGTGATCAATTAGACGCAAAGCTAATTCCTACTTATGCATTTCCTCTATGGCTCCATAGTCTACTTAATTCAATAATGAGATTGTCTGTGTTTGCTCACTGGCGATCTATGTTCAAACTCAAGCATCAACACTTTATTCTTATATAATATTAGGCAATGATGAGACTGGTCAGGTCAGGTGATATGGCTGACTGTTTGGGAATACCAGATGCTGTATACTTCCATGTACAGATGCTGTAATGTATAATGGCTTGGAATTGTAAATCAGAGTGCTGAGTTCCAATTCCTGTTGGGTTCGTAATATTTGCTTATGTGCAAATACTCTTGAGAAAGGCACAAATCCATCTCTTCTTCCCCCAAACTCTGGATTAATTAGTAAGACTTGTAACCATTATTATCTCCAAAAATATTCTTACAATCTAAACTTTTTTCTGGCTTTAAATAACCTGCAAATGGTTGATAAACTATAAAAAAAACGAATAACTCAAAAATTCAAAGACAATTACATTTGTTAATTCTGCTCGTTCTTCCATTAGTCAGCAAGTTATCAAGTGCATTTAGTTACTGCAAGATAAATAATGAACCATACCAATTTGATTGTGAGAAAAGATGGAAGAAAAATGTATTAGAGACACTGTTGGTTTTAGTGAAAGAAAGGAAGAAAGAAATGAAAAGAAACAAAACAAACATTATCAGTCTACATTTTTCAGATGAGGTATTGCAATTACTTACACTATTTACATTGGACTGTTGTCTTCATCTTTGTTGCAATATTCATGATGCTTCAGTCGTTGTATGCCCCTGCCTTCTTCAGGTGATTGGAATTTTGAACTGAACCCTTTATTTCATCCACCAGGGTAGATTGCTTTATTTCCATGTGCTATGTCTCTTCTGGATATCTCGGTATCAGTTATCTCCCATTAACTCAACTCACCACGTTTTTGTTCACCTCTGCTGTAGCCAGGTATTGAATTTGTAGCAGAAAAACACAATTTACATATAGTTAGAGATAACAAATTAAAGCCAAATTTATACAATTATTAAAAAAACATATATCGCTAACTACACACCAATTTTCATCTGGTTAAGTTACACACTTGCTGCACTCTCCTCAAAACAAATTTTAAAACAAACACAAATATGCTGGCCATTATCGACATGACTCTTATTTGCCATAGATGTTTACAACTACATTCATGTGTTTCCCTTATATATGCTATAAGAGAAGCTGGACCAGGAAGCAGAGAGCAGAGTAAGAGATGCACACACTACTCAAAAGCATGGCTGATTGATTGTCCAAACAACCTCCTTTGAACACAGAAAGAGAATGGATTCCACTATCAATTCAGCTGGTTTAAGCATAATCTTTTTTTCACACTCTCATTTCACACCTTGTATACTGTACATTCGAATGCTAGCTTACCAGACACATTTTCATACCTTGTAAATGAAAATAAATTTTTGGTCATTTCTCCAAACCTGTGTCTAATTTGTTTGTTTACTCCAACCAATTTCCACTCTAGGATCAAACACACAACTGTTAGGTTTGAATCACTGAGTTGGTTGAATCCAATGACTTAACCCAAAGAGTTGTAAGTTCAATACCTGGCTACAGCAGAGGTGAAAAAATCTTGGACAGTTGAATTAAAGAGCAATAACTGATATTGAGATATCTGGAAGAGGCATGGCCTTTGGAACTAGAACAATCTACCTCTGTGGACAAAATAAAGGGTTCCAATGTATAACACCTGAAGAAGAATAGAGCATACAACAGCTGAAATATCGTGAATATGACAACAAAGATAAGGATAACAGTTTGAATAATGTAAATAGTGTAAAGAAACATTATCAGGTACTTAATGGAAAAAAGGAAAGGAATAGGAAGAAACAATGGATTGTTAATTGATTTGTTTTTATGACTTATTAGCCTTTTTTATAGGGATTCACCTGGTTACATGTGTGTGTGTGTGTGTGTGTGTGTGTGTGTGTGTGTGTGTGTGTGTGTGTGTGTGCACATGCTTGGCAGTGTATTGAGTGAAATGAACAAACCCAAGGCTTGAAATAACTGTTTGACAGCATTTATTTGTGGATGAAAAGAGTGCAAAATAGTGATATATTGCAGGAAAAAGTTGGGTTTCACAGTTAACAGAGTTCTTCCTTTGAGTAGATGTTTCATAGAGAAATTTCTCCACTTGTCAATCTCAGTGTTAAGCTGTTAGGGCCGATACATCTCTTCTGCTGCAAGGGTTGTGAGTAGTTTTTCCTTTGGATAAGAGTCACAAAGAGAGATTTCTCCAGTTGTTTCCATGAGAGATCCCACATGCCACAATAGCCAACAAGCAAGATAGTTTTTATGTTTTATGAATTATTTAAAGCTGGATCATATATTGGATTGTAAGAATAATAAATTTTATTTTTTTGCAAGATTATTATATAGTCGTGGAATTTGCAGGGAATGTATTCATTCATTAAATTAAAAATTATTAGGACTCACAGTTACTTACTTATGTTAAAATACAGGTGCTCATATGATCACTGAAGTTAAGCAACGTTGATCCTGGTCAGTACCTAGATGGGTGACTGCTTAGGAATACCAGATACTGTAAGCTTGGAAATGCTTGTGGTGTAATGGATAACTGCTAGTAATTGAAAATCAGAAAAGTCGAGTTCCAATTCCATATTCATTTACGTGCAGATACCCTTGTTAATGTTATGAATCCTCCTCTTCACCCCGCCCGTCAATTATGGGTTAATTAGTAAGACTTGTATCGGTAAGTCCTTATTATCTACAAAGTATTCTGAAAATCTAAAAATATCTTCTGGCTTTAAGTAACCTGCAAAAAAGGCTGATAAGCCATAAAAATTATTACATACAACATTCAAAACAGGGAAACCATGAAATTTTCACAGGTATTACTAGTTACATAGTATACTAAAAATTAAAAGAAATGAGATTAAATAGTCAAAAATTAAGTGTTGTATATAAAACATTCAAATATAACTAATACTAATGGTTAAATGATATATTTACTTCTTCCTGTTAATGTTACTTTATGATTTGTTTGACCTGACAATGGCCGCAGAATGACGTCATTCATTTTCTTTGTCTTCAGTACTTGAAAGTGTAACTGAAGCTGAAATATGAAAACTGTAATAGTCTATCCATGAATAACATTCTGATCATGTCGAAAAAAGCCTAAAGGGATGTAACTCTTACATTTGTTTGACATGACAGATCAAGTACTGATTTATGTTTTTTGAATGCTTGGACTCCATTAAATAATAGAAAAAATCTTTTTTTATCTAATAATTCTTAACTGAAACCTATTTCGTACCCATTCACTTGAAGGTATAGCTTGAAGTTTCCTGTTTACACATCAGTGTCTTAACATTTAATTACCCAAGAATGCAATTACTTCAGCCAGCAGAATATCTCCAGTGGCTCCACTTACCTGCTTAAACTGACACGAACTGTTTACCCTATTAGCTGATCTAAATTGGTTACTCATGTCAGTACTGATCAGTTCAATGATACTTAACTTCAGTGATCAGACGACCGTAAGCTGTCAGTGAAGGAGACACATTCAAAAGAAGACTGGCTGGTGAACAGGTTTTTATAAAGTGAGTTATGTCCCTTGTTGCTACTCAAATCCTTAGTTTACCACAACATTGATGTACGTCGTGTATTAGAAACCTCATTTTATAACTAAATTTCTCCATCTATTTCTGTCATTGCAAAGGGCTTCCAACCGTCTGTTAATTTCTTCGAAATCAATGTGCAGTTTGTTTGACATCGAACTCCTTTTTATCATAGATAACCAGATTACTTTTAGTTGGAATACAGGTTGTTTTTTTTCTTTCTTGACAAATTCGTTGAGTGTTTTTCTGGCAGGAGTGTTTATTATCGAGTCAAGAAAAAAGAAAAAGAAAAGGTGGACAAGCCTTTGTAATGTTTGTTGTTTAATGGCGGGGTTCCATTGTTTCTGGTCAGTTTGTTGATAACACATTTCATTGTTGATTGTTCTGAGCCACATCAGATACTATGTTATTTTAACAGCAGCCTAAAAACAAATTAAGATTCAAATGAGTTCTCATTTACAAAGCTTGAATTTGCCACAAGGCTGCAAGCATGTGCCACCCAGTGAGAATCAGACTCACTACTCAGAATTTCTACTGAATAGTGAATATGTTACTTATTCTAGTGGAGTTATAGCTCTGAGTAAATAATTATAAACCCCCTTATACATATATATATATATATATATATATACTCATAAAAATGAGAAACAATAAGATGTGGAAACAAGAAACGAGTATTATTTATTATCTTATTGTTATATAATGTTGGAGACAGTAATACTGAGTAAAATTGTGAGTTTGGGGTCAAATGGAGACCAAATATGGATTGGAAACCGACAGAATGGTAAGACAAAGAATAAGTAAAAGTGTTTAGTCTTTTTCGAATGTTTTTTTTGTTTTTTTTATGTATATGATGTAATGAGTTTCCAGACAATTTAGTTGGAACATACAAGAAGTGTTTGAGGTTTTCTTACCTCAAATTTCTGTTGAGGGCTGAGAGAGAAATATTAATATTATGGCCTGTAAAAGGGAAAGGAGCCAAAGTTTTTGTTGACACACATGTTGACGGCCTGTCCATGTTGACTGCTTGTCTGATAGTTAGAATTTCATGTGTTTGTGTCTGTAGAGGAGAAAAGTGGGGTTGATTCATATTGGTTTAGAAAGAGTGAATTATTGATAATTATAATTCTTATAATTATTTTATTATAATTATTTTTGACACAATAATTAATTTTTATTTATGGACACAATGAAATGACAGTATAATTAATTTTTTATTTATTTATGGACAAAACGCTATTATCACATGCTAAGTCACTCAAAAATATTTACTAAACCTCTCTTAGTTTGACACAAGGCTACAAATTAAGAGCATCATGTGAGGATTGAACTCAGTTTTCAGTAGTAATGGTCAACCAGACTAGCTCATTAAATATTATCCCTAAGATTCAGATGAGTTAAAATAATTAGCTAATTAATTATGATGACAGACATAAAAGAAGCAATGAATTCTTGCATTTGAATTAATTCACACCTAAAAGTGGTGAGATATTCATTTTAGTTTTTATAAATTTCAAATTCTGTGATTAGTGAGGCATCAGTTTATGATAACAATGAATACATTTTTTCTGAAAGATTAAATCAAAAAATCAGAAATATTTTGGTCAAAATTTTTAAAATGTTTTAAATTCATTTTGTCACATTTTAATGCTTATTCCCATTAATTTTAAAGCATGTCCACATCAATTCTTGTCTGTTAATATTGATTGCCTGCAAGCAGTTTGTTCAGGTTTATCATTTGAATCATTACCATAGGTTATTTTTGTGCTGTGTTTTTTAGTGGTAAACTAGATAGAAAGAATACAGAAAAGTTGAATGGAGCTGTGTGTGTAGAGATGTCCTTTTTCATATGTGTAATGTGCATGTATGCAAAGTTCTTATGAAAGATTGTAAGAGACTAACATTTTGAGAAGAGTTCTTTGTTGCTTTGGTAAAATTATGTCTGAGTATAATCAAATAAGCTTAATAGTATTAATAGAAGCAATATTCTCACATTATCTGAATTTAGTAAATGAAGCACTCTCATTATTTTTATGTTGTTGGAATGGTTCAATCTGTTGAGGAAATATTTGGTGATGATAATATGCAGATGTGTTGGTGTTTCCTCAAACATGAGAGTATAATAATGAATAAACAAATAATTTATGTACAGTTAACAACAGATTTTATTTCCTAAGCAAGATAAATAGAAAGTGTAGAGTGACTGGTCATGGTTAAATGCAAATAAATGGCAGAAGGGCTCAACAAAATTGACAAATTTTGCAATAAACAACAAAAAAGGAAAGAAAAGAACATGGCAAAAATAATATAAAGCAAGCAAACAATATATGCAAGGCAAAGCAACAGTAATATGGCAAAAAATTCACAAAGAATTGTGGTTGACACACAAGAACAAATTCAGACAAGTGAACGTAGCATTCTGTGTTCAAGATAAGACAGACTGGGGCTGAGTCATATGAAACTGAGAACTGGCCTGTTTTATTATCTAGGAAGAAATTCCAGCATGCATTTGCATTTAAATTGGGGAGGGGCAAGTGTTTTGCAGTCATTCCCACTAGATTGGAATCAGTAGTAAGAATACAAAAGGGCTAAGTGCAGATGTGTGTGTAGAGATATTCTTTTTTCATATGTGCAAGCATACAAAGTTTCTATGAAAGATTGTGAAAGACTAACATTTTGAGAAAAGTTCCTTGTTGCTTCGATAAAATTATTAGACATACCTATGTGTAGTCTAGTAAATGTAGAGCATTTGTATGCTGAATACTTTCTGTTGTGTTCAATTCTCAGAAGCAAAATGAAATATATCTTATCTCTAAGGTATCCTGTGTTTAAAAGAGAAAAAAAGAGGCTGAGCCCTTTTCTTATATACAGTTTTTTGCAACATCATCTGGCAGTCATTAGCTGAAGTTCTTTGGCTGACAAATAGGGTAATCCTACAACTGTATCCTTCTTAAACAGCTTAGTAACTTTAAGATTTAATTTAATCAGATCATTGGAATATTTTCTAAGTAGCAAAAACTTTAAAAGTAGGAAAGAAATCAATACAGCATTAATAGAATTCTTTTTATCCAGAAACTCAGATTCTTTCAATAAAGAATAAAAAATTACTTTCATAGCAAGCTTTTGTTATTGCTAATAATGAAGATCATGTCCTTGACACATCTAGCTTCTGTTAGACTTGAAGCATGAGCAAGGTTTTATTCTTTCCCAAAATACAACATTACTTTCACAGCAACCTTATATTCATTGTGCCAAATATTGGAAATTTGGTAAACTTGAACCTTTATAACCACAAAAAATGGAGAGTCAAAAGGACAGTTTTTCCATTGACACTGCTATTATTTTAACTAGTTTTTAAAAGTGATAATTTGAATTGGAATAAAACCTAGACATATGATGAAAGTTAATTTATATATTTTTGTTCTTGAGAATTTAAAACAAAAGTATTAAACACTGTTTACTAGTTTATTTATTCACAAGAATAATTTTATATTTGCAATATTCTAAAAACTAATACAATTAGAACTAAAGTGTGATGATGTAATTCTGCATGTCATGGCACAAGCTGTGATGACATCTAAGGTCGGCTGTATGTGAATACACTGGTGTTTGCTATGTTCCACAGATTCATCTTAATTATGGCTGTGAACATCGCCAACAAAGAAATAACGACAAATTCTTTTCAGGACACTTGTTGGGTTGGGAAGTAGTGAAAGAATATGTCTTCCTTCTGCTATGAGAAAGTGAACTATCTGATTTCTTACTAAGTTCCAGTTATAGAAAACAGACCCCTATACAATTACAGCCTTACCATTTCACTGACTGCTGGCCATTTCACTGATCACTTATTATATGGATACTGGTTGGTGGATCCTCCCCCCCCCTTTTCGTCCACTTGTGTTCCACCAACTGGAAAGGGGGACCATCCAGACAGGTTTTGGTCGGGCAATCTTTCAAAGAACCTTACT